TGAGTTAATGTTAAATCTGAACTTATTTTACAAAAAAAATCATAATTAGCTTAGAAAGTAAAATTTTAATTTTTTTAAAGTTTCCTCCCTTTCTATTGCAAAGCTCCATATAGTTTATAATAGCATTAAGAATTTTTAAATCTTTATTATAGTAAGTTTTATAATCATTCATAAATTGCTTATATTTATTTTCTATTAAAAACAGTCTTCTCATATTTTCTAAGATATATGATTTAGGATTTTCTATCTGACGTAATTCTAGAATACACTTTTTATAATTCTGCATAAATTTATTATTTTTGAGTCTTCTATAGAAAATCCCTATCTTAAGCACTTTGATTAAAGCCTTTTCAACTTTTTGAAAAGTAGGTTTAACTTCTTGAATTTATTTGTTTTCGGTTATTAAATTTGTGTACTCATTGTGAAAGTGTTTAATTTACTATATGATACTTATATAAACTTTTTATTTTAATTAATTATTTTAATATATAAAAAATTATTATATTATGTAAGGTGAATATACTTGTCTCTTTATACACTTCTCTAGTATAATTTGTGATCAATCCTATATGTGTGAACAAGAATGTTCTATTCATTGGAAATATGTTATAAAGTTAGCTAATAAGCAACTTAATCCTTGTAGTGAATATTATAGACTTAATAGATTAGCTTCTGATCAATATTCTGATTATATAAAAGGTTTTATATCTTCCGATACTATAAAAGATTGCACTTTAGGACTTTAATGAATGGTAAATAGTCTATTAAAATTTTGGTATAATGTTCAGAAATTTGGTATTCCATCTGGAATTTTGATATCTTACCTGAATTTTTTACACTATAGTTAAATATTAATAACCCTAGGTTTATGCTAATAAATCAGCTTTAGAGCATTATGTTGTATATTAAGAAATTAATAATATAATAGAATATAGTTTAAAGTTTTTAGATTAAAAATATTTATACATAAATTTTGATATTCTATCTGAAAGTTTAGTACTTATTACCATTTTTTTGACCTAGCATTTATATGAAAGGAATGGCTCTAAAATTAATTTCTATATACTGTGAAATTACTGGTATACTAGAATATGGTCTATAGCTTTTAAACTTTATTGTATACATATATAATTTTGGTACTCACCTAAAGGTGGATACTGAAATTATGATCTTGCTAGATTAAAATAAATCATCTTTAGAATTAATTCTAGGATATTATGAAATATGATATGCAAATTGAGCTTGCATTGATTGTAAAATCAAATATTTTATCACTTTATTCCTCAATATTCTTATCTTTTTCCAAAGGCAAGTAGTATAGCATAAAAATTATTATATATATTAGGTTTGAAAGGATCGTAGATTTAAATATTTCATTACTTCATTTCTCAATATTCTCGTCTTCTCCCAAAGACAAACAGAACAGTAAAATTTTTTAATATATTATTTGGGATTAAAATCATGCTTGTATAGCTATATCAAACAGTATAATTTTTGGTATCAGACATGCTAATTTTTAGCCAAGTTCAATATTAATATCAGGATTTGAGCCAAATCACGCAAAAGGACTTGAATTTAATAATTGATTCATATGGCTAGAATTGATTCATAGGTGAATCAGTAAACTTTCTGAGCACTATTCAGATTTCTGTCTCAGAACTCTCATTTTTGTTGTATAAAAGTAATCTAAATAATCTTAAATAACCAAGCTAGTCATTTAAATATCTGATTATATTTGCTGTCTAAACCTAAATTTTTAAAATACCTATCCAAATCCAAATTCTGCCCACTTAAATCTCAAAGCTAAAATTGAAAAAACTAAATTTGGATGGTCAAAATCCTAAACTTTGAATAAATAGATCAGATTTAAACAAATAGATTAAATCTGAATAAATACTAAATCCAAAGTGAACAAACCTGAATAAATCCTAAACACAAAATAAATAAACCTATATTTATTTATAATTTTCATTATAAATTTTATTAAAATTACAAAATTTATAACAATTACATCCTATTTTTTTTTGCATTAAATTAGTATTATATAGTATGGATCACATTTTATGTTATAAGGATAAATATATAATTAACAGTATTCAAAAAGTTAAGATTAACTGTTTCTAAATTTTTACAACTTTTATTTTATTATTTTTTGATTGACTTTTTTTTTCAAATAAAAGTATAATACAAATATAAAATAAATAAATATTTATATAAAAAAATAATAGTAATTGCAATGAAGTAGTTTTTAATTTCAATCTGAAAATTTAATTCATATAGATTAAACATCTTAAAAATTAGTGAAAGAAATCAGGTTTTTTCTAGAGCATTACTCATTTCTTATAAAAGGAATATCATTCTTTTAACTATTAATCCTATCTGAACTTCCAATTTTTCTAAAATTCAAGGATTTTAGTTTGTTAATGTTTAGGCTTTGTCCGATTATGACTGTCCAAACCTAGCTTTTCCAGATTTTCCATTATGGGATTTTAGATATCACTGAAAAATCCCATTTGTCCCGGTGTTTCCATTGGACAAATCCCAAAGGTTTTGGTTTGGACGGCAAGTATAGGTCTGACATAGTCATTTAAAGAAAATATATCATATGATCTTATAATTCTGGTTAATATTATCATTTAATTTTTCTGGATAACCTGGCCATTTGCCATCACTGTGATGAGATATGTAACTTTGCAAACATAGACGCGAATTTTGTACATTAATTTATTTGTAAACGAATTTTATTTTGCAATTATATAAAAGTAATTTTTTATTTTATTTAGCTTAACAAATGTTTTAATTCAGTAATAAAATTTTAGTTTTAAAAAAAAAAAGTTTCAGAAGATACAAAATTACTGAAATACACACAATTTGAATCGGTAACAAAGTTGGTAACAAAGAAGTTTTGCGTTTTTAAAAAAAATTAAACTCATACATATAGTGTTGAGAAAAAATAAATTTTTTTTTTTTTTTTTAACTACCTTTTGTATATTTTCAAGTCCATACATACACTTGGCTTGATACTCTAAAAAAAATGGCAGAAAGAATGATATCGGATTTCGTGGAACCCTTCAGGTAAATTAAGGAGAAGAAAAAAAATGTTCAATTCTATTCAACAAATCATATTTTATGTAGGGATCATGGAAACATGGTTCCTTTCGGTAAAAAAGATGGTCCTACCCAATTTCCAACCAATCCTGGTTATTACGACGTGGGATGTTTACATCCTTTGGACTTACGCCCATCGACCCTCCAGGAAGAAAACGGTGGAAGAACAAGTCGAATATATGAAGAGTCTGGTACTCTTGGCAAAGGAAATAATAAATATGCAACCAAACTTAAATTTGCGGTGAACATAAAAGGGAAAGTTAGTGAAATGTATATACAGTGCGTCAATCCACCAATGAATGTGGAGTCAACAAAATCAAGAGTGAACAATATGAAGACGTTGAAATGGGCATCAAAAGTGGAAAACTTTCTAACAAAGAAGCAACAATGCATGTACAGGCATCAATTGGGGAATTGTTCAGAGGCGGTATCCTGTGAAGCATGGAGTGGACGACCGAAGTCCCGTCAGAAAAATGTCGACTTGTACACACGCACTCTCTTCCTCAAGAATTTGACAATACTGGATCCATGTCCCAAGTGCCGGTATGTGCAAGAAATGATGAAAAAACATTTAAATATAACAATACACTCATGCGTTTAAAAATAAATCTGATCAACATAAAGTTGCAGACGACATTGGTGGTAACGAAATTGATATCGCGAGCGTTGCAGGTTTTGGATTCAATCACATAATCGTTATTGGGGAGTTTCGTTATGGAATGACATTTTTAGATTGTTATGGGCAGGGTTGGGAATTTTGTATGTACTAGATAAAATTAATACTGTACTTGTACTGTACTTGTACTAATTTTTATATTAATTATTATAATGTACTAACTGTACTAATTGTATTAATATCATTGTACTAACACTGTACTTCCCAACCCTGGTTATGGGCGCGTTCTTCTATGGGAAGATATGAATCAAATGATATATCCGCTTGGGGATTCTCTCTCGAAGTTCCAAAACATTATAAAGAAGATGGAGAACTGGCATGGTATGAGAAAAATGGAATTGTATACGAATATATTATGAAACCTCAACGTATGTATAAAAAATGTTATGGCGACATCATTTCTGGTATTTTAATTTTTTTTTTACTCACTTTATTTCAGGTATATCTACACTATCACTACTACCAAAAAGGGAAAAAAGGGAAAGAACTCGAAGAAAAACAAATAATCAATATGGTTAAAATTACATCTTTTATGATTCAAAGAAATAATTTCTGCATTATTAGTTAGATTTAAATAGAATACTAATATATCATATCTATTTCAATTATAACTTGGTCACTGTTTCTGCGAAGTTTTCATAACATTTTATGTATTTGACTTGCATATGCAATCACACCGGAAAAAAATAAAATGTTTGTTTGCTTGTACTGCAATAGCGTTTAATTTATATCAATTTGTGTCAATATTTTTCTTGTCAAAAGTGCCTGAATCTTTTTTTTTAATGCAATTTTGAATAAATCCGCATTTTTCATAAAATAATGTCAAACGTTTAAAGTTTAAGGCGTCACATGATCACTCCGTTTTATATCTTTTCTTAAAGTACATCGGGAAGGGGGGCTTAATGGCTTTACAATTCACTTTTTCAAATAATGGAAATAAATATAATGGTAGATATGGTGGGTTTATTATAACACGCAAGAACCCTCTTTATGGTAACAATATTGTAACATCAGTTTTAAAACTCGCCTAGATTTTTCCAGCTGAATTCTTTCCATACTTTTTAAGCATGCTCATAATATTTTTATAGCTTGATCTTCTCACCAATATACCATGAAATTGGGAAGCTCTATTTCCAAGAAAAATTTTTTTTTTTTTTTTTTTTTGCACAATTAAAAGGTCGCCATTAAAGGAATAAGATCAACCTTGGAAATTTATTCCAACGCCAACTTCACGTGTACAAATTAGTTTATAATGAAATGATAAAGGAAATTGGCAAGATTCAAATTTAACACTTTTATTTAGAAAAGTCGTTGATTCTGAGATAATCCTAATCTTCATTGTTAAAGGAAATGAAAAATTGGGGAATTCTCCTGATTTTAAAATTAGAAAATGGTAATTTTCCAACATTAAGGAAGATCTTTTTTTTAAAAAAAAGTTCGTTTAAACTTTAGTATCTTTTGAATCATTTTGTTTGAAATTCTTTTTCAAAAAAAAAAAAAAAAATCATTTAAATATGGGCAATCTGTCTTGAAACATGTTTATTATACACATCACAAGTTTTATTTTTTTATTTTTCTTAAAAAACCACTTTCTTTTTAACTTATATTTAAACAGAAATTAAAGCTTCATAAATGAGTTTAGATATAATTAGCGGAGAAACGATGATTATTAAAGTAAAATACACCAATCTTCTAGAAAGTTTCTCTCGTAAAATTGTCGTAGATAAAAGCATTAAATTGAAAGAATTGGAAAACAAGGTGAATAATATTCTTTTGTTTCGGAAAATGTCAAGTGTGATTGGAGTTTACTTATCTTTTGATTTCACTTAGATACGTGAACGTTTCGATGTGGATTTCGATCAAAGCGTCGAAATTTTTTACATTGACGATGATAAAGATCGAATTGCTATTTCCTTTGAAGATGAATTAGCTTTAGCTTTGGAGAATGGAAAATTACAAACATTTGAAATTGTCACAAAACCAAAGGTAAAGAAAAAAATAAATAAATAAATAAATAATCTCGCAAAACAAACAAAAAATTAAGTTGCTTATTTATACATTCCAGATTGTTGACGAGTTTTGCGTTTACCCTGAGGTGCCAAATGGAAAGGTTGGTGAATGTGTTGAAATTTTGATCGAATCAAAATACCTCACAATTGCCAACGCGACAAGCAGCAATACCAAAGCTTGGGGAACTTACATTCACACCAACGATTCAGATATTGTTAAAACTCTGGCTAACTCGGAAAAGATTAAATTAAACGAAGTTGCACCTCCTTACAATATAGTTGCAGTCTTACTTTTCGTACCGGGATGTATTAACTACATAGGATCCGTTTCTCAAGGGGTCCGTACAATGGATTTCGGCCCATATGATACAAGTTATATCATTAAAGGTGTTAGGGCAGTACCTATTCACGAAAAAGCTTATCTAAAATAATTAATTTACTTTATTTTTTTTTTTAAACATATATATATATATTTTTTTATACTATTAATACTATTAATAATTAATGAATTGTCTTGAAAATAAAAAAAATTTTTTTTTATAATAAATTTGTTTATCTTTCCTGAATTCACATTAACAAAAATCAAAATAAGGTTTACGAGCAAATAAATAATAATGTGACACTTTTATCATCGAATGTTATTATCGTTTTTTTTTTTTTTTATTAGTAATTAAAAATAAATTCTTTGCTTTTTTTATACACTTTATTTAAAAAATAAAAGAATTTACATATGGTTACTTTTCGTATTCATGAAAAACATTAGGCAAGCTTTTTTTGAAAAAACGTGATTGCCTATGATAATCCCTTTTTTAGAAACCTTTTCTCACAAACATGAATATAACCCGATTTGAAATCTCAAATGCGGGGGTTCTCCTTATTTTTTTAATGATTTTATCGGTTTTTGATACTTATTAAGATAAGATGAGATAGGAGTGGTAATTTTTCAACTTTTGTTACCAAGAATTTCATGTGAACGTATTTAAACTACAGTGATCATTACCGAAGATTTTACTTATTTATTAAAAAACATTCAAATACACAAAGTTTTTGAATCTTATATCCTCTTTTTTTTTTTATATTTTTCATTAATCCTATTACTTTCTTTACGGCATGTCACCAAAATTTGAACAATCGGACGGTAAAGATGTACCATCTCCTTTCACACCCTACTCAAGAAATAGCAAAAAGGCATTTTTGACCTATTCTCCTGGGAAGACATCCTTTCAAGTAGGATATTTAGGAGCTGATGAATCAACAATAGAAGGTGTATTACAATTAAAATACACTGAAGAAAAACCAATATTCGCAAAGAAGATTTCCCTTTCTTTCGTGGGAAAAGAATATGTTTTCTTTGCAGGTAGCCTAGAGGAAGGTCAAGATGACATTATTAAAGAAGACGATGAAAGTGCATATTTTGAAGACGAAGATGAATCAAGGATCTCTACACATACGGCAAAGCGTAAATTCTTTTATAATAACATCACGATTTGGAGGTCACAAAGTAAAGGTCAATATGATGCCATAAAATCTCTTGACTTACCTTTCAAATTTAAGCTACCGGATATTCTCCCACCTTCGATTTCGATGGATAAAGGATGTGGAAGACTTTATTATATGCTTAAGGCTGTTATTTCAAGGCGGCACATGAATCCCAACTCAAGTATTAAAAAGAAAGTCATTAAAGTGGTGGTTCCCATCACTCGTTATACTATCACTCCACAACCAGAACCTTCTCGTTGGTTTATCAAGGAGGATGGACCCGCAAAACCCCACGCTTTTGGATATGATGTGTCCTTAACACAAACAACCTTTGGTCCAGGAGAATCCATCGTTGTTCCTGTAAAGTTAACTTTTCATGAACCTCAAGTTTACTTCAAGAAATTATTCGTAGGAATTAAAGAATATCACGAATTGCGATCAGACAATTATGAAACATCAACAAAAAAATATATCGTTGAAGAAACTGTACATGCTAATGACCTTCCAATTTTATCCGGACAAGATAATGAATATTTTATAGAAGTAAAATTAAATACGCCTTCTGCAAGACATTTGGTTTATAGTCTAGATTCAACTTACCTATCAGTTTATCATAAGTTGAAAGTTAAAATTGATCTAGGTAAAGCTCCTGATATACATATTTCAAAATTTGTTAAAGTTTTAAATCTCATTAGTGAAGAAGTAGTCCACCCACCGCCACCGCCACCGACACCAATTCCAACACCTACACCAACTCTAACATCAACTCCAAAAACTCCAATCCCATCTCCAAAACTAATTGACATCCCTCGTGAAGTTATTACAACACATGAACCTATCATGGTTAAACCTAAACGGGAATCCCAAAGAAGGTTGACACCTTTCTTCCCATTATTTAGCAAAATTCAAAATCGTGATCGTGCCGTAAAGAAACTTTCGGCACAATTTCAACTCCAACTTCAAATCACCGACTCGAAAAATCCAAACATGATTTATAATTCGAGATCTTTATTTGTACCCACTTTTCAAACAAAAAGAGCATCAACTCAAGCTTATTAGAAAGAATTAAAAAGAATTAGTTTATAAAACAACTTGGCTTTTTTTTATTTTAAAACATTCCCTTCTTTTTTTTTTTTCCTCTTTTTTTTTTTCTTTTACTCCCCGCTAATTTTATTTATTTACTTATTATTATTATAATTTGAGAAATTTCATCTTTTATATAAATTATTTATTGAATATAGGAGAAACGACCTATGTTACTATTCAATAAACGACGCGAATTCATCACGTGCGTTGTAATATATGTAACAACAGCATCGGAAATTAATTTTGAAAATCAACAAAAAAAAAATGAAAATGAAAACTTTTCATTATATGCAACTGTACGTTACCTAAATTTAATTAACTGTCGCTCGATAATCTCTCACAAATTTAATAAATGGTTTTACAAAATAATTTGAAATTTGAAATTAAAACATGCAAAATATACTGTATATATATACTGTATAATTTTTGAAGAATAAATTTTTTTCTAAAACGTATTTCTACTTAAATTACCCTAAATTTAGTTCCAAAGAAGCGGTTTCAACTTTAACAATAGTTGGATCTGAATCCAAAGTGACAAAAGTGACCTTTGACTTTTTATGTGGATTTCTTTTGTCATCCTGCACAATTGGTCTTGAGTTATATTCCGCCCGAAATTTCATTATTCCGAGATTGTTGTTGCTTGAATCATCATTACTAGATGAAACAGCGGAAAAGGCAATTTCATCATGTTTCTTAACCTTGATCATACATCTTTCAAAATACTCTTGTTCTCTCTTATAAAATGCCAAGTAATCTTGAAGTTCCTTTTCTTGACGTTCCTTTATTTGGTCAAGCTCGGCGTAATATTGTAGCTAAAAATAAAAGAAAATAAAGAGATTTTATTTTAATTAAACATTGGAATATACAGTAACAAACAGTCTTGAAATAAAATTTTCGGAAAAAAAAAATTTTTTTACGTATAATTCATCTCGTCCAATTATAGGTTCATCATCTTTAATAGTAAGTTTTCTTTTAATGGCATCTGCAACATCTTCCATAGTTCCAATTTTTCCATTTCCTTGATCGGCAATACCATGTTGAGAAGGATTCGAGTCTCTTCCATTTATCAAAATCTTTTCAACTTCAGGATGAAATATTATGCTAGATAAAGTATCAGTTGTTGAATATTTTCTTTTCACATATCTTAAATCTACACTTTGATAAAATATTTTTCGATGTTCAACGATTTCTTTGGCGTGAATTTGAATCAATTTATCCAATTGGATCTTCTTAGATTCTAACAATGCGTCCAAGCGTTCTTGGTAAAACTCGGCGTTAACTTCTTTATTTAATTTGTTAGATACGACCATATCCTCGTATCTTAATCAGATTAAATCAAGTTAATAAGGAACGTGTAATAAAAAATCATCAGGTACTGAGAATTTTTGTCTAAAATTGAAATCTTATTGCAATAAAAAATCGAAATTTTATTCCCATATTATAATTGCTATTATTACCTTTCGTAATCGTTACACAAGATATACAAGAATCTCTCGTCCTGCAAATGTAATAATAAAATGTATCATTTATGATTTTAATTTTCAACCTTAAAGATTAATATACTTACAAGAGTCTCACCAAAGTTGTCATTTTTCAAATCATCCCAATATCCAGAATCGCTATTCATTTCTTCCGCTAAAATTCAAATATACATGTATAGATTTAAGTTCAAAAGTGAGATTTTACGAAACGGTTCGTTTCCATAATTTATGTTACCTTAGTAAAATCAAAAAAAGAAAAAAAGTGTGGGCTCGTACAGGGTAACTTTGATTTAACAAAGGTACAAATTATAATGATTTTTAAAGCACGAATGATATGATTGAGACAGGAAAATCAATAAATTCTACATCTATTTATAACAATTTACTGAGTCATTGGTAATTAATAAGTTTAAATCAAACATATCATCTTTACATTTGAATGATGCAAGAATCGGATCGTGATTTAAAAATAAATACTCCGGAATACTTATGTACAATTTATTTATTCAACATTGAACCAATCTAACACATAAATTGGACTGAAGCTTATAGCTTTCACTCTAAAAGTCATAGGTTCATATGGTATATACTGAAAAGCAAAGTCTAAATCTATCATTACAACATCAGAATTAACACATGGATTAATGATTTTTCCAGAAATCATAGAAAGCCTCGAAATTTCTATTTCCTTTCTAAAACTTTTCTTCCCTTCATCACAGTAAGTAAAAACATAATAAAAATCTATGGATCTATAACTTTCCACAAATATCGGTTTTTCAAATTCGTGATTCACGCGAGTAAAGAATTCAATTACGTATTTATTATTTAGGCCTCCTCGTTGTAGTGGAATATCCAAGTTGATAACTGTACCAAGATGAGTTTGACATCTCATCCAAAGGGTAAGTTTAGGGGAATGCTTTGTGAACAAAATGGATATTTTATCATATATCATGCGATTTATCGTGATATTCCATTCGCGACATACTTGTCTTAGCGAAGAGATTCGTCTCTTATTTGTGATCACGCAGGTGTGGGATATTATTTGTTTTAGTATTTGAATTGGAATATCTTTGATACTTGTTGCGGATTTTACTAATGGTTCGTGCTTTTCTTCTTTCTCACATATCCTATTAATAATCAAGGGGAAGAACCGTCAGCTTTTTTTTTCGCTAAAAAGTTCTCGAATTAAATTTAACTCATGATAAAAGGAAAATATTACAAACTCGTTATGTGACTTTGGTGGCCAATCAAATTTAAAAAGATCATTAGTAAGATTATTGGTAGATTGTACTTCTTGTATCAAAACCTCCGTCTTTATAATAATAAAAAAAAATTTGAGTACTTTGATCAAATTTATTGATTAAAAGTAATATTTAAACTTACTTTCTCAATCGTCATTATAATATGACCAGCCGAGAAAACGTATCGAACCACAAAGTTTCTATAATCTTCTTTGGCCCAATGAAAATTTAATTCAAGCACAGTATGGTCAACATTAAAAAGAAGAGATTTTGATGACCATTTTTATTTTTGAGGTATTTATATATTTTTTCTTACAATGACATCATTTAAAACATTAATTTATCCGATGATGTTACCTTTTGATATATTTATCGACTTGGAAAAGGATAAAGACTTAACCGTTTATAATCTATTTTCGAACCGATTATTGCCAAACTGGATGAATTAATAACACTCGTTTCATATCATATGTAATTTCTTTCGTTCATGCTAACCTACCTTGGCGAAATATTCTTGAAAAAATCTTTTCATTCGAATTCGAATAGTCATGTGTCTATAACTTACTTTTTGTGATGTTTAATATTTTTCAAATCCGGTACATGTGTGTGTGTTACATATTTTAAACCCGCATTTGGATAAATTATAATAACTCGATACAAATTAATCATTATTTGCAAAAATATCAATTTAGTAACGTTGTAATAATGAACCTTTCATTCGTTCTCGGAAATAATAAATACGTAGGTCTCTATAATATTTGTCACGCACAAATTAATTTAGGAATTCCATACGGCAAATAATTTCGAAACATGATTTTGATTATTTGTTTCATGTGTTCTAATTCATTTAAGATTTGAGAAAGTTTTCCAGGGCTATTATTTTTCAATCAAAATTCGGCGCAGAATTTTGATTGAATAATTTCATCTAAATAGTAACCTGATAATGCCAGAATTTATAAAAAATTTCCATTTTTGTGAATTTAATATATAAATAAGATCAACATTATATATTGCAATTCAAATAAATTCATTCTATTCTCCGGATTCTCCTTCATTTACTCATTTTTTTTTTTCTTTTTTTTAAATAAAAAAAAATAAAAATCACCCATTTTTTATACATTTTTATGTCGATAGTGTCTTTCAAAGTTCTCTAGTAATCATTACATGCATGAAACGGCAAAGTTATTTATAGGAATAGAGATTTTTTTTTTTAAAACTCTTTTAGCTAGCTACTTTACCTTTTCGCCACTAGCATTAAATTTGCAATAAGATTTTTTTTTTTATTTTTTATTTTTTTTTACTTAATCGAGATATTCTTAATTAATGTATGAAAAGAACTATAATCCTCATAGATAAACCACGTTTCATAATATCGATTTCAGCGATAATGCATATATCAACCATTTTCGTTTTAATAGCACTATCGCTTTCATCACAATTTTTGTTAGCTTCTGCGCAGTCAACGCCTGATAATACTGTCGACAAGTCACCGTCAATTGAAAATAGTCCTTGTGAAAATGATTGGGATTGTATTAATAATAAGATAAACCCCGAAATGAAAGTATCATGGTTTAACCAAACAACCAAAAGGAGGCCGGGTGACTTTATGTGTATACAGAAAAAATGCAAATTTGTGGTTGCTGCTGGTAAGCTTTCCTTCTTCGATTTCGTTTTTCACGTGATCTCCTTTTTTTAATAAGAGAAAATTTTCTTTACAAAGGTCAACCATGTCGAGATGAAACAGATTGTATAGCATATCATTATTCAATTATATATAACGTTCAATTTGAGCAAAAAGAGATTTGTAGTCCAAAGTATTGTAATTTTGAATCAAGTTGCGATGGAGCATGGGATCAAAAAGATCTTACTTTACCTCAAATTGAAAAACCATCGAACTGTTGTAATGGACTTCCTTCAGAGTCAAAATGTGATATAGTAGCGAATGATGTTGATCCATGTGATTATAGTTCGAGTTGTAATTATGATAAAACATCTGGTATCGCAAAATGTTTGTTAAATGCAGATCGAAAGGGAAGTATTTGGATCGGTGTCTTAATATGTTTATTGGGAGGTGTAGCTGCAAATATCGGATTGAATATTCAAAAATATGCTTTTACCAAGCACCAAGAAGAATCGAACAAAATAACAAATGTAAATGATGATATTGGTCCAACAAATAATTTGGACCGTTCTAGCCTTTATAAAAAATTGGAAAGATTTATGTTCTGGAAACAAATTATTGTATCGCCGGTGAGTGTTAATGAATTCATTTGATTATCTTGATAAAAGGTGGTCCATAATTATATTAAACTGCCGCATCAGAGTTATAACCTTTCCACTCGTCAATGTTATTTCAAACATTGTCATGTGAATTCAATTCATTTAAAAAGAACCCACCTTTTTTTTTGCCTTTGTCTTTTCCTCTCTAGCTCTGGGTCTTTGGACTGGTTATCTACATTTTCGGAAGCTTGTTAGGTTTTGTCGCATTAAAATTCGCTCCACAATCACGTACGTAATTTTATTTTTCAATTCATAAACAAATTTATAAACTTTCATACCAAGTTAATTCTAAATTTCCTACATTATAGTCGTCGCACCGCTAGGCGTTGTGTCTTTGGTCGTCAATCTGATAATCGCTCCGATACTTCATCATCAAACATTAACAGTCTGGGACATTGTTGGTGTCGTAATCATCATAGGCGGTAGTATCGTGATCACAGTATACTCTGGAATTGTTATACAAGGTTAGTTTTAAATTTTATTTGGTTTAAAATTTTTTTATTTTTTATTTTTTTTTATTTTTTAATATATACATATTTATATACATATTTGTGTGAATAGATTATAAACTATGCGCTCTTATTGGATTATTTCATCGACTCCAAACAATTGTTTATCTTTCTACGATTTCCATTTTTATTTTTGCTTTATTTACTTTTATACGCGTTGTTGAAAGGAATGCAGCTCGAGAGGATGCAATTGCACTTGTCCAAGAAGACGCCGCTGCTGCTACTACCGGACATGTACAAAGTTCCACTAATGCAAATGAGTCATCGCTTATTGAAGGTCGGTAATGAATTTTATTTCTCATTTTAGTTATTAATGAAATTTGGTAATAGAAAGAGTTAAGTCGAAATATTAATCAAACTTTGGGGGATATGATCAGTAGTAACGGAACAAGACTCGAAGGACAAAATAACGCATAATGTGCTTGACAAGCAGAATATTTCTGATAAAGTGGTGCATGACGTTGAAAAAACAAACCATATACCCCCACCTCGGATTTCAATTTCTTCAATGCGTACAGTCGGATCTGCCATTAGAAAACGAAACCTTAAAGAAAAGATTCTTTTGCCGCTGGCTTATGCAATATTGGCATCCAGTTTGGCCACAATCACTACCCTTTTTGCAAAGGTAATAATTTTTGTGCTCAATATATTGTTTATGAAAGCTCATTTTAATAACAAAAAAATTTTTTTTTCCTTCTTTTTTTTTTTTAGTCTCTGATTAATTTATTGACAATATCAATTGTACAACAAGATAATCAATTTAAAGATCTATTATCATGGATGATACTCTTGATTACCATTTCAACAGCGATTGGTCAAGTCTATTGGATAAATATGGGGTTAAAGAAGTATGATGCATTATTGCAGGTGCCAATCTTTTATTGCAATTGGAGTTTATTTGATATAATAGGAGGGGGCATCTATTATGATGAATTTCATAACTTTACCGTAGAGAAATATATAGGATTTATTGTTGGAATATGCTTTATATTCTTTGGTGTAACATTATTAAGTAAGAGATTAGCTATGTTAACGAAAGAAGAAGAATTGCTTAAAGAAAGGCAAAAGGTATTGGAGCAAGAGTTGAAGAAGAAAAGGAATAATAGTAGGAACAAATCGGTATATGATGAAAAGAAAAAGGTGAAACCCCTAAATTAAAGGTGGAGAATGCTTATGTAAGCAAAGAACATTTGTCAGGATTTAATGTATATAGTGTTGCTAATGTCAAGAATATTTTTTTTTTTTAAAAAAAAAAAAATCATATTCCTCATCTTTTTAGCAATGCACCAAAAATAAAAAAATTTAATAATAACAATAATAATAATAATAATAGTAATAATATAAATAATATAAGGATGTACTGTAATTATAGAAATGTTGTATTTTATTATAAACTGTATAAATATTACATTATTTTATATCCAGCTACAATTGTTTATTTATTATTAAACAAAAGATAATAAATAAAATTAATAATTGATTATATAATTAATACAAATAATAATAAAATTACAAATAAATAAATGAAATAACGAAATTTAAAAGATTTGACAAATAATTTTTTTATTTCCTTCCACTATTACCACCTTTTGAACATAAGATTACCATAGACCATCATCATCTTCATATACATCCGAATCATAAGATATTTCTTGAGATGGTGAACGATGAATTGAATTGTATGAAGGATTTAAATGAGTAGAACGAGAATCAATACTTAAATGGTATGAAGGCATAGGTGGAGGTAGATGCATAGTTGAAGAACAAGGAATCGAACTGCATGAAATTCTAGGAGTTGGAGCAAGAGGATATGGTGGCGAATAAGGACTTGAACTGTTTGGAGATTTCTTTTTACCTTTTATATTAATAGGAAATGGCCGAGAAAGAGGATTTGAACTGTTTCTTTCAGTTCTAACGCCATTAAAATCATCAATAGGAAGAGATATTGACTCGGGAGAAATAGTTCCTTTTAACTGAACCGGAGGAGAATCATCATCATCATCAAATAAATTATTTTTTGGACCATTTAATATATTATTATCAATCTTTAAACTTTTCTTTAACCTAGCAAAACCCTCGTACTTTTTTACAATTTGAGCGACCTTTTGTTGTTTTAAATCCCGATTACGCTGTTGACCTTCAAGTAATTCATCAATCCTTTGATTAACTTTATGACAATATTGTTCTCTTAGATTTTCATTTATACGTAATTTCAAAAGAGAATATGACATAAAAGCAATAGCCGAAAATGAGGCTTTCGTAAAGAAATTTAATAAAGTAAATGAAATTAATCCAATTGAAATTCTATCAACTGTATTATAATCGAATGAATTATTCGTCGCATTTGCATTAGCTATGCTATAAAGAGTGATCGCATTAATGATTTGAAGTGGTGCTTCAATCAAAATGAGTCTTTTCCAACCTAAAATTGAGATATGTTAAAATACTAGAACGATGCTATTAATCAAGAGTCACGTGTCATTTACCTTTCGAACCGAAGAATACAAAGGACGCGACTTTATCAACGAATGTATGTTTCATACTTATGTTACAAATGAAACAATGACGAAGATAACTCTTTAAAGAATGATATCTAAAAGCTATAGGATTAGTATAAGCGTAAAAGATATCTCCTGAATCAATGATAGCTTTAGACTTTTTCCAATCCCAAGCCAATAATAAAAGTGATGTAAAAAGACATACAACATAAATCAATTTTGATACATCCAAAGAAATTTTTGGTTGAGTTGAAGCAATCTTATTATCAACCATTAAAAAAATTCCTATCCATATATCTGCCAGATAAACCACTATAAACCTAATTACTGTCACATAAACTAAAATATATTTTATTTTAATAACTAGATCATGCCGTTTGAAATCTTCTAGATATACATCATCAAATTTATGATTTGGAATCACTTCTTCAATTTTCCAATTTGCCTTTGAAAACTTTGAAAAGAACATACCGGTACTAATTTTTTAAAAAGGGGGGAGGAAATAAAAAAATTTTGGTCTTTACGTTTTGATATTTTAGTTAAAGTATTAAAATATCATAATCCGAAAAATAATCAGGGCCGGCTGTTTATTTTTTTTTTTTTTTTTTTTTTTATTAATACATTATTGATTAATGGAAAACGAACAAACATAAGAAAAAGAAACGAGATATATAATAAATAATTAAAATTTTCTTTTTTTTTAAAAAAAAAAAACACAATCCTTTTAAATATATATTATAATAAGAATCTTTACAAGTATGATCTTCCTTCAAATAAATGTCAAAATGTGATTTTAGTACATCTTGAATAAAATTAATATCATATCTAGTATCATTTGATTCTTAACTCTTTATATTAAACGTTTGATATCCAAATGCGAAAATATTTATGACTTTGCCTTTATCCAAATGATGATTGCCATTCAAATGGAAAGAGCGAGCCTTATGTTCTTAAATAAAACATTAAAATTTTCCACAACGTAATACAATATATGTTTGTAACATATTTTTTTCGCTTCATAAGAAATTTTGTTCGAACCTTTAAAAATCAAGCGACACGAGATTTTCTTAATGGATTAAAACTTTATATATTTATTGTTGGTAATTTTTGAAATTCAGCTTTTCACGTGCTGCCATATATAGTTAGAATTTACATGTGCCTTGGATTTTGAAGTTTGTACTAATGGAAAGAAAAAACGAACACAATTTTAACATTTACAAAAAAGAAATACTTTGACCGATTTCAACTCCGTGACCATTAGTCACTTGATTGACATTTAAAATTAAAAGATTATGTAAAAAAAAATATATATATATTAATGGAATTGCTGATAAGGATAAAATAATTGACAGCGAAAATTATGGTATGGACCCCTTTGCGAGTATGGTATGGTCAATTTTCAGCTAAACGGAATGATTTTTTAATATAGTAATAAAAGTAACACCATACTTTGGATCTATACCATACTTATTATCTGTATTCTTAAAGATTGACAAATGCAATAATTTTAAAATTTCATATTAAATTAATAAGTATCAAAAATATTATCTTGTATTTACGTTTTCAAAACAACTTACTAGTACGATTATTTTTTTTAATTATAATGTAAATTGATTTAATGAATAATGAATCTATTTATTTTTTCATTATATTGTATATTAATTTATCAAAGAATTAAAATAATCCTAATTAAGCAATTTAAACTACAATACCAAATCATCTTATTATTTGAATATTTGATAATAACTTCAATTTTGCATTTCTAGTATTAATAGTTGACTAATTATTATCAAATATTTCTAAACTAAATAACCTTTATCTATAAATATACTATTTCATATATCTTATAATAATCATTTTACCAAAAATACAATTTATTAATTTAGTATATATAAATATTAAAAATTTCTTTATTCATCTAATTAATAAAAAAAAATAATATATAGTAGTAATCAAAAGGATTGCATCAACCAATCACAAATTTTAAAATTGCAATATCTTGTGAATTAGAAAACACAGTATTATGTATAATATTTATTTTTTAGACTCTTCATAACAAGTCTATTTAATGATATAAAAATTATTGCATAATAATAAAATCTAACTTTAAAAAATATTTATTTAATGTAAATTATGTGATGCTTTTCTTTTGCTAATATTTTATTAAATTTTTTAAATAAAAAAAAATTTAAAAAACCAATTTTTTTATATTAAAACTTTGATAAATTATTGTTTACTATTTTCCACTATTAGCTTTTATTATATCATTTATACGAGTTAGCATATTATCAACCAACTTTTTGCATACATTAGAATAAGATTGCTAGATGAAATTCAAAGTTTAAACAGACGTCCAAATGGTAAAGGTAAAACTTGGTTAAATTATATTAAAATCTTATTAAAAAAATTTGCAAATTTGAATAAAGTTAAAATTTATATCAAAGCTTATAAAAATAGCGAAACTATATCAAATACTTAGTAAAAATTTAGCAAAACTAAAAGTTTAAACATTTAGTCAAATCCAAAAAGGATTAGACAAGCAACCTTATATCAGATCTAATTCAAACCAAACTTTTTAAATTACATCCTACAACTGATTCTGTATTCTAACAAGTATTTTAAGTTATCTCAGATAATAGTCCATTTTATTCTAAAGGTATTCTTTTAGATTTAAATCAGAGGGCTGTATTAGTCAATCAAAAACTTTAATCTTATTATTCTCAAATTATTATTTAATAAGATTTGCAGTGTATTTATAAAGTTGGTAAAGTCTTAAATCCTAACCTAAAAACTAAATTTAATTTTTTAGAATTAATAAAGAATAAGTCCTAACCAATTAAAAAAAAGATTTAGCTAATCAAAAATTATGTGTAATTAAAAACATATTAAACCATATTTCCTTAAAAAATACTTTACTATTTAATATATACTTATAACTATGAGTTTTGATTTAACAATAGTTTTGACATTAATAATGAAGAAGAAATTAATAGAACTTCTTTTTATAATTTACATCATTTATTATATGGGGCCTTTGCAATAGAAAGGGGGGAAACTGCCAGAAAAATCAAAAATGAGTTAATGCTAAATTTGAACATATTTCAGCCTAAAAATCATATTTGCCATATAAAAGTAAAATTAATTTTTCTGGCAGTTTCCCCCCTTTCTATTGCAAAGGCCCCATATAATGAAACTATAACTATATATATGATACAAGAAATTCACAAAATTCAAAAAATTTACAAAACTCACAAAACTCTTATAAAATTTCTTTTTTATAAAATTATGTTAACTGTAAAACTTTAACTAATTCAGGTGTATTTGTATGTAAAAGATGTAATTATGTATTCTTAAGCAAGTCAGAAAATTCTAATATAGAATGTCATTTAAAGAAATATAATATAAAAATTTCAAAAGTTAATAAATGTCAAACTACATTAATTTTAAATGTATGAATCCTTAGTTAATCAAAAAAAATCAGAAGAAGATCAATTATTAATTATTTGAATAATTACAGACTAACAATCTTTTCACGTTGTTGAAAATAAAAATTTTATTAAAATATTAAATAAATTCAATCTATGCTATAAAATTTCTAATTATCATCAAATAATAAAAATAATTAATCAAGAATTCAATCAACATCATTTTAATATAGTATATGATCTATGTAAAATATCAAAAAAAGTAGCTTTATTGCAAACATGTGAACATCAACTTTAAGTAGTAAAGCATATTTTTAGTTTAACAATTTATTATATTGATCAGGATTAAATTCTTTGATATTTTCTTTTTGATATTATTCCTTTTAAAATTCGTTATATAGGAATTAATATAGCAAATTCAATTAATGATATACTTAACAAATTTAACTTAACAAACAAAACTATTACATTACTACTAATAATGAATTTACAATATTAATATATGACAAAAATTAGCAAAAGAATTTAAAAAATCTTTGAATAATCTTTTTTTTAATTATTATAACTGCTCAGCACATATTCTTAATATTACTGTTAAGGAAAAATAAAAATAATTGATCAAGAAATATTAAATATATATAAATTAATATTGAAAATTAAAAACTCTGTTTATTATGTAATGATTTATATGAGTTATATATTGTAGAAAAATTAAAATATCTTTATCTTGAATTAGATATAGAAATAAGATAGAATTCTATCTTTTATATAATTTAAAAGTTTTTACGAATAAAAATAAATTACAAATGCTTGCAATTAAACAAAAATTATATAAATTTAATATCAAATAATATAACTAAAACAAAAATTAAGGTATTTCAAAATATTTATTTATTTTATTTTTTTTTACTATTTTTAATTAAATAATAATAAATATGCTTTTATTTTTTATTATTATAAATATTAAAGAATACTTTTATTATTCTAGAATCTTTTTAAAAAACAACTAAAATTCTTTCTAGTTCAAATTATCCAATGATAGTTGATATTCAATATTATTTTAGTGAAATTCAAGAACATTTGAAATATTTGAAATTTTATATGAAAAAAGAAATTTTAACTAATGTATATTAATTAATACTATAAATAAAAAATTTGAAAAATATTGGATAATTTTTAATAAGTCAACTATAGTTTTAACAATATTAGATTCTCAAAATAAGATTTTATTTTTTACATCAGATGAATTAACAACAAAGGTAATTTATACTTTACAAGAAAAATTTTCTTTATATACTATTCAAAAACCACAATTACTAACTTATTCTTATAAAAATTCTACATTATCACAAAAATATTTTTGTTAATTAAAAAATAACATTTAGGAATAATTGATTATGTAGAACAAACTTCATCTAATTTTGACTATGCAGAAATAAAAAGATACTTAGCTTTATCTGTGATAAAAAATTAAAACTACTTATTTAGTGGCAAATTTATTCTACAGAATTTCTAATACTTTCAATAATAGTGAAAGATTATTTAGCAATTCAATCAATAAGTGTAGCTTATAAATAAGCTTTTCTATTGCAAGTAATACAATTACTAAACTTAAAATAGATTATGTTCAAAAACAGTAAGAGCATCATTATGTTCAAAAAAACTGGATTAAAAATGGTATTAGTAAATAAATCAGTAGAAGATAATATAAATATAACTACAATTGCTAGTTATATAAATATTAAACTTTTTAAAAACTGGATAGAATGTAATCGCATGTGACTTGGGTTAGATCATGAGGGTAATTTCATAATCTGCCGGTAACTTCATAATATAATGATAACTTCATAATATAATGATAACTTCATAGTCTGCTGATAACTTCATAACATAGTGGTAACTTTATAGTCTGTCGGTAACTTCATAATATGGTGATGATTTTATAATCTAATTTCATGATCTAGAAGTAACTTCATAATCTACTATTTATAATCTGATAGTAACTTTATAACCTATATATGGGTAGTTTCTTTGCGTTTATATT